AATTTTGACCGAAGCTTCTATCAACCTTTCCTCCTAAGTCCCTGCTGCATTCTTATCGCTTCCTCAATTTAAGCTCCTATTTGCAGGTTTTAATCTACTGGTAATATATCATTGAAGTCAATATCAAAAATGCTGTTTATCATTATAATGGTATCAGTCTACATTTGTGGGCACTCCCTCACAATGACTAAACTGTGAGAAGTTGCTATGATAATTATCAAAGATTTGATTATTCATTAAAAGTTATTTCTAAAATTAAGATTTAACCATATTAAATGTCACCATATAAAAACAAAAACAAAAAAAAATTCAATATTTCCCAATAATTCTATCATGCCAGACACACAAACAAGAAAATATACATTCTCACTAACGTATATTTCGCTACTCGTAATCCCTCATTTATCATAACTATCATTTACCTTTTGAAAACTACGCTGCAATTTCTTTTCTCATTAATGTGATAGGAAATAAAAAATACTTTTAAACCATACTTTATTTTCACAACACTTATTTACATCAACTACAATAAGAAAATTCAGCTCACAATTCTCTGAGCTGATAATGACACCCAAACATATATATTCACACATTCACTGTATATCTATACACAATATTTTCCATCTTGGAGTATATACAGAACTTTAAAACTGTAAATAAATATCTCATTTTTCATATAAACTTGAGTTAAATAAATTACTGGGAAAACAAACACAATCACTTTAATACTCATTTTCATTTACCAGATATCCATCTCTACTGAAGTTCAAACAAATGTCTTTCATACAAGGTCTCCCCTTTTCAAGTGGACCAAATGAGCTAAACACACAACAACTATGCACACATACATGCACTCATTCCCTTTGTGATGTATGTATGCATACATAAAGACTTTCTTACTTTCACTCAAGCATACTCTGAATTACATTTCCATTCAAGAATGCACTCACTAGTCAAAGTATTAATTTATTCATTCACCCATTTCAACACAGTGTAATGCTCAACTCACTCTTGTGAGCAAACTATCTTTTACTGTTATTTCATGGAATTTCCAATCATGAAGTCTGATCATTCACAACTATATTTAATTCAACAAGTGAACTTTTGGCTTAAAAACAAGATGCACTTTGGTTGTTAGCCCTCCAACACCACAAGCCTAGTATCTACAGCTGATGCTCGTTCTCAGCCTGTCTGATATTGGACTGGAATCCGATTTCTGGGTGAAGTCTTTTCATGTGTGCCTTCACATTATTGCTCTGAGTGGACCTGTAATTACAATAGGAGCAGGCATAAGGCTTCTCTCCAGTGTGGATCCGCTTATGCCTTCGGAGGTTGGTGCTATCACGAGCCTTGTAGCTGCACTGATCACAAAAGAGTTTCTGTCCATCTAAACTTCCTTGGACCAGCATTTCTTCATGTGGATTATACACCATAGGGTACTGACTTGCCGCCTGGCCTGTTCCGGAGACTATCCGTGTACC